GACGCTGGTCCAGTAAGGGTTGATTACTTCAAACATATCTTTGAATTTCTTCCCCAATATGTGTACGTTGCAACACGATGTTTTCCTTCACCGTAAGAACCTCAGGTAAATTATGTACATATGAAATTCGAAAAATTGAAAATCACATTGGTGCATAGCGGGATTCCAGCCCAGGACCTATATATTACAAGTCATGTGCTTAAACACCCGATTCAGCTACGTATGTATTAGTAAAATTTAAATACCTGGAAGACTAGCCGCCGTCCTTCTCGGCCGAGGCCTGTACGGAGCCATCTCGTTGTAATCCGAATAACGAGATGAGGGAGGCAACTGAAACAAAACAATCATTAAGATCAGATTTCGTTATTTCTAAAACTGCAATAACATGGCCGCGATATTTGCTAGGTTAAACACTATTGTTTAGAGCAAAAAACGATAGAATACCACAGTAGAGTCATATGAAATATATATTTTATTCATCGATTAACATTACGGGCAGCAGTTCAATTAACTCTCCTATATGCCAATACAAACATGACATTCTTCATGGCACCAAGTATACAAACATAAAGGTATGAAAATTTTATTTAACTATAGGCTGTAATCAAATGAATAAATAACTGAAAATAAGTCGCATCGTTTGCCACGGATTTTTAAAAGAAATAGTACAGGATTCTGTACGAAATAATACCAAAGATCAAGACCAACACGCACCTGTTTGGTCGGCAGCTGAGGTAACTGCACGACTGAGGAGCGGCGCTTGTTGACGATATTCTCGTACTCGGTGGAGGTAAGTCCGTAGCCATCGTCGAACAAGTACCGGCTGTCCCACGGCCGCGCCTCGTACGACCCGTAGGGGTAGCTACTAGAGTCATAGTACTCCTCGTAGCTTGGCTGATGTGATAAATGCGAATGGTCCCTGCAAAAATTAATCATCTTTCTAATATTATAAATGCAAAGGTTGGATGGATGTTTAAGTTTGTAGACTAAACTGCTGAAAGGATCTAGATAAAATTTGGCAGAGATGTAGAGGATAGTCTAGAAGAATACATAGTCTACTTACTATTTTTTTAATTTCACGCGGTTGAATTCGTAAGCAACAGTTAGTTAATTAATAAAGTAATTGATGATTGTAAGCGGTAATGTAAAGATTTAGAAGCAAGAAGAGTGCCCCAAGATAACGTCAAATAGAAGTCTATATTCTGCCTCCGAAAGAAGTAAATTAGAGCGGTTACAAACGTAAAAATTAGGGGATCAAATTTGGTTGTGTTTTTAATTGATTTTACAGGTATTCCAAAGAATTTGGATGTTGGTGATGACATGATTTAACGTTGTACAAGTATTTTGGCTGTGAATACTGTTGAGAATGACATTTTAGTTGCCAGCTTCACCTGTCTACTTATCTATAATTTTACTAATGACTTAAATTACTGTTGGAATAAGTATATATTAATTTCTACCTTATGTGCGTGCTAGTGGTGTAGACGTCATACCCGTAGCCCATGTTGTCGTCATACAAAGTATTCTGACGCTCTAAGCTCGGCCTCCGCTGCTCCTCTATAATTAAAATAAAACATATTGTTTATGATCATTCTGTATACAGATTTTACGTGCATTACAAGTGTTAAGAAGATCGGCACTACACTAGATCATTGCCATACACGTCACATCACTATGACATCTGTCAATATCAATGTCAATCTGAAGATTTAACGATAAGCGCTATTCTGGCGGAAATCAGTAGACTTGAGTATTGAACTAGATTTACTTTGTTACAATTACATTAATGTCTAAACCAAGGTAGCTAAAGCGTGGTTTTAACTTTTTTCTTTCTCTAGATCGGTGTATACCTATACCATTATTCGAATATATCGATGTATGTGTATTGTTAATATATTTACCTCCTGATTGCCAATCCGTCGCTGTTCGCCAGGAATACGCAGACTCCACGCTCGCCTGTGCGTGCATCTGCGACCATGTTTCTATCCTGAAAATTATAAATAAATATTTAAAACAATTTCGTTTGAATAATTAAATTAAATTTGAAAATTCAGTTCGGACACGCATTTCAAGAATGTATTCAACCAAAAACACTAACGAATAATAGTTAAATGTAGCTGGGAAAACGGCCATAAAAGTCATAAAGTTGTCTTTGCTAAGCGACTGTTAACTAATTACAACAATAAAAGGTCAAAGAAATATAAAAGATAGTAACCTATTGGTTCTCGGCTGGCTGTTATAATACAAGGGATCGGTGTCGCCATGCATGTGGTATTCCTCCCGCTCGTACGAATTCTCCCGAGACGCCTCCAACGACCTCTGGAAATAAAACGGATAATATTTCACTTACCATAATAAGATACATTCACTTGAGACATGTCCACAAAGGTCCATAAAACCACATGTTAATATAATTAATTGTATTTAAATAAATTGTCAAAAGGTATCAATAAATCAGATTTACATGTTTATATTTTATTTTGTGACACTGTTTATTTTATAGCAAAAGATGGAGCTTATTAAAATTGAATACCTGGAATAATTATTTGTGTAAAATGTTTTATAACAAGAACACGAGGTGGCGTACTAAACTTGAGTACTAACAGTACCTTTTAAAGAAATTACCGGTGAGAAAATGTTGTTTGTGTCTAAATATTTCTTAAATGTCTTGGGGTGCACTATTGCATCGTTTAATATCTAGTTTGTGACGTATACGAAAGTAACAAGCAGAACCCAAGTGTGTATCCAAGCACTTGCGGAAATGTAATAATCGCAATAAAATCCTAACTGACGACTATGTAAGTAGATAATTATGATAACACACTTCAAATTATTTATCTAGTAATGGTGACTATATTCACTGATAGAAAGTATCCAGTTTATGAAATAAACGGAATTCTCGCTACGATAGGATTTTTTCATAAAAATTTAGCTGACGACACAGTAGAATCTGAAGGAAATCGACGTTGACGAACAAGTAACTAAAATTCATATTGTCTGGAGACTTAGGATCGGCAGAAGAAGAACAAAATAACGTTACTTAAACAAAACTTGACTGTAGATGAACATTATTCGTGTCAAATAAGAATGTGCAAAACTGATCTCGGCTATTCAAACAAAAAGTTATTTCATATTAGCGAGGAATCATAGACATTCGTAGAACGACACCTTTGACTTAATTATCATATGTGTGACTGTCGATTGTTTCGAAAATCGAGTATAAGTCGAGCATCCCCATAAAATTTAATAGGAATTAAAGCAAGACTAAACGAATGTGCGATAGTTTAGTTTCAGATGGACATATGCTTTTATTTTGGACTTTGCACAGTGTATTTTTACCTGTGGCGTATGTATCTGATGCGCTGCACTCCTGAACTGAGACGCGCTGCAGTTGGCATGTTGGCCCACCGGGTAGTTGAGGTCCGACGTGTAGTCGGAATCTTCCGAGTAGCCCGCTAGAACAATTCAAATACAGTCTTCAGCTTATAGTAATATGGCATAATGGTATACAAACTTTATGAATACTCGCAATTTCGCACGAAACTCGGAACTTGTTTAGAGGTATCCGCTGGCACGTTTACAGTGAACAAGGGGAGATCTGTGATTGTAGTTAACAACGAGCCTCCGTAAAGTTTGAACAGTATCAATACAAACAATAACTGCGAATAGAGACGACACGATGGTGAATCATGGCGTAAGCTATGTACATAAAGGCAAAAGATTTTAAGTTTATTCGGATAATAAAACCATAATTGCACAAATTTTATGGAACACCGTTAAGTTAGAGCTCAAATATCTGTCAACATTTTTATGATGATTCAGAAATGATTACAGAAATTTGAACTTAAATACCTAACACACATAGCATAAATTCTATAACAATAAAAAGACTAAAGAGTTTAACAAATTATAGAGTAGGCATTTAACCCGATATTTGAATATTAATTCGCACTACGCGGCTACGAAGGATGCTACCTTCGTCATTTAACATGTATATTACTAACTACATCCGTAGAACTTTGAAAATCTTTACTAACCTTCACATTCAGTAAATCATGGACAAAACACGAGTACTATACTTCACATAATTCCAAATAGACACAAACTTTTCACCATTCAAATTTGTATTATAAAAACTATAGTTTAATTAACAAGTTCACCTTTTTCATAAGTTTAAGACAAAAACAACAATGAATTTAGTGTTGTAAAAATGTTAAATAACTATATCCACTGTAACACATGTCTCACCCCCGTTGGTAAACTGAAGTGATGCGACAAGCCATTCAAATGTTCAATGATAGATCGGAAGGTTGAAGTGTAAAACCCGTTTTCCACTAGCCTAATAGTCGGGTATATGCAGCAATGTTCATAATAAATCTTACATCTGACTTACACATAAATAGTAAGAATAGTATGATTTTACTCTTTATGAAAAACACCTCCGAAATTTAATTTCCCTTTAGCACTGGAATTCGTTTGTTTTGTTTTTACTGGCAAAGTCTCCATCATACAGACTTACGGTTGCAGTTTATCGCTTGGTGGAAAATGGGTTTAAGTTAGAAATGTCTCATTCACTCACAATGAGCGACGTATTGCAACTGCCTGCGCGCCTGCTCCGCCCGCTCGGCGTCGAGGG